GGCTGGAGTGTGAGGTGGCTGGAGTGTGAGGTGACTGGAGTGTGAGGTGGCTGGAGTGTGAGGTGACTGGAGTGTGAGGTGGCTGGAGTGTGAGGTGGGTGGAAGGTCAGGTGGGTGGAGTGTGAGGTGGCTGGAGTGTGAGGTGGCTGGAGTGTGAGGTGGGCTGAAGTGTGAGGTGGCTGGAGTGTGAGGTGGCTGGAGTGTGAGGTGGCTGGAGTGTGAGTGGCTGGAGTGTGAAGTGGCTGGAGTGTGAGGTGGGCTGAAGTGTGAGGTGGGTGGAGCGTGAGGTGGGTGGAGTGTGAGGTGACTGGAGTGTGAGGTGGCTGGAGTGTGAGGTGGGCTGAAGTGTGAGGTGACTGGAGTGTGAGGTGGCTGGAGTGTGAGGTGGCTGGAGTATAATGTGGCTGGATTGTGAAGTAGCTGGAGTGTGAGGTGGCTGGGGTGTGAGTTGCTGGAGTGTGAGTTGCTGGAGTGTGAGGTGGCTGGGGTGTGAGTTGCTGGAGTGTGAGTTGCTGGAGTGTGAGGTGGGCTGGAGTGTGAATTGCTGGAGTGTGAGGTGGGCTGGAGTGTGAGGTGGGTTGGGGTGTGAGTTGCTGGAGTGTGAGTTGCTGGAGTGTTATGTGGCTGGTGTGTGAGGTGGCCGGAGTGTGAGGTGGCTGGAGTGTGAACTGACTGGAGTGTGAGATGGCTGGAGTGTGAGGTGGCCGGAGTGTGAGGTGGCCGGAGTGTGAGGTGGCCGGAGTGTGAGGTGGCCGGAGTGTGAGGTGGCTGGAGTGTGAGGTGGCCGGAGTGTGAGGTGGCTGGAGTGTGAGTGGCTGGCCAGTTGGAAGATTCAGGAGCCTCCGTCACGACTGTGAATGAGCTCGTCCCAAAATTCTGGTGGTGTCGGACGGCGGCGTTGGAGGACGAGGAGAGTGTTGGTGGAGTGAAACGGTACACATGGGTGAGTGCTGGGAAGAGGCGAGTGAGAATGGGAGTGGTGAGGTAGAGCAGAGAGAGGGGGAAGAGAGAGTGAGGTGTGAGTGGGGAAGGTGAAGGAGGGTGTTGGGAAGGTGAGGGTAAAGAAGAGCGGGATGGTTCTTAGAACCCATGGAGTGTATATTTAGTTTGGGCTAGGAAGAAGGGGAAGGAAGAGTAGAGAAAGTGTATGGAACAACAGTATGGACTGTTGGGGAAGAAGGGGAGAGGAAAGTAGACAGATGAAAGGGGCAATGTGCAAGTAAAAGCAGCAGGTGGATGGAAGGACTGTAGTTAGAAGATAAATGAAGGATGGATTACTTATTTCTTTGTAGTAAGATACAAAGGAGACATAAAAGAGCGAGAGATAAGATAAGACGAGGGAAAGAGAGCAATATAAGCATGTGAGTGAGAGTACAGTGATGAAATAAAGGAAAATGTAATTTTCTCTTGAAATATATCTTTATCATTTATCAATTCTGATTGAAATTACCTACTTAAAATTATCTGCTAGATTAAGGACCTGCCCGAAACGCTGCGCGTACTAGTGGCTTTACAAGAATGTAAATACTGTACTATCCAATGTATTCTCACAAACCCAATGTACCTTCTTGTATATATATAAATAAATAAATAAAATGTATATGGCGTGTGCGAAAAAGATATTACTGGCTTTATGTTTAAGTCTTATAACTGTCACAAAAATCTATATGTAATCCTCCACCATCAATATTGTAAATGATCGCTCCCTGAAACACTCGCATCAGATGGCTCCTCTTAGTTCTCATAAATTCAGATTATATTTGTTTATTGTATACACAAATTTTAGTCTCATAAAATTATCCATTTACTCATTCAAATTATTATATATTCAAGCCTATTCAAGCCTATATTCAAGCATATTCAAACATTATTGTTATTGTTAAAATAACAATATTTTCTGATTATTATTATTATTGCACAGTGAAATCACATTAACGTGATGTGCCAATGAGAACATCAGTATAGAGGAGCAAGGAAGAGGATTCGAACCCGCTCACTTGGCACTCACAAGCAAACGCCCTAAACCACTTCACCACAACATGGTGAAGAGCAATGCAACTTTGGATTTTCTTGGGAACATCGACAGTCAGAACTAGAGGTGACATGGTCGGAAGGTCAAGCAGGATAAGAGGACAGGATCCTGGGTAGCAACCGTATTAGTCGCTGAGATGTTAGTCTTTTCTTAACCTCACACTCAGACCTTGAAAAAGCATTGAGAGTGCGAAAGACTTGATGTAAATCTTTACATAAAATACAGGAATTCATTAGTGTGGGTTTTGATCCTATATGTTATTATTATTATTATTGACTTTTTAATTTTAATTACTATCCCTATGATGCGGTCAATCTTTGTGCGCTAATAACTATTTTTTGTATTAATTTCCCTTCAGATTATTCAAATCACATATAAATACCAGAATGAAAGTGAAAGTTACCGCCAGGTGATTACTCCCGAGCACAACCTTTTCCTGCTGCAACTTGTCCTAGATTTCACTAAATCTTATGCAGATATTTATGTAAAAAATTAGATGCCTGGAGTTATTGAGTGTTGCTCATTGATGAGATAACTAATGATTTTTTTACGCTAAATATTATTATTATAATTATTATTATTATTATTATTATTATTATTATTATTATTATTATTATTATTATTTATTATTATTATTATTATTATTATTATTATTATTATTATTATTATTATTATTATTATTATTATTTAACATACGTTAAAAGCACTCTTGTTAATTCTAGTAAATACTTTGCATAATGAACACTCTAAAACTTTGTTTTGACTTTCGCATTAATTACCACATGAATATTCAACGACTTAGTCACAATCAAAACAGAACTACATTTTTACCTTACATTTTAAATTCTCATTACTGAGCCCTATCGACTTTGCTGTTTTTTGCAGAAATATATATTACATTTCTGATAGCTATGTCATAGTCAATATTGACGAAGCACCTATTCATATCGCGTCATAATATTATAGTAAAATAATATTTTATATGATCGTGGAAATCGATGGCTAATATTCGCCACCGTTTTCTATTAATATTGCGAAAGGAACAGCCTAAACATATATTATGTCAATGATATAGAGAGTTGTTAATGCTGTTTCTTTAGTATTGCATTTCTGGTTGTCCTGTGAAAATAGGAGGCCAGACGTAGGGGATAACTTTACCAAACTTCCCCACGGCGACACATGGTGCCATGTGAGTGTCAAATGCTAGTTGGCGTAGGTATCCGTACCACCTTTTAGCAATATCTTCATCTATAGTGACCCCGCGATTTTCACAGACTGAAATGAGGGATTTGTTTTGTGTAGAGTATCTGCTTACTCTTACAGCAGTTTACATGAAAATGACGAACGTGAATTTATTCACATGACCCAAAGATTAGAGTAACCAGAAATCGTGTAGTATTGAACTCTTACAGCAGAGTTATATTTTCTGAGAGAGAGAGAGAGAGAGAATGGAAGAGAGGACAGAAGGGAGAAGTGGGGTGTCAGAGGAAGGAATGCCAGGGTAGAGGGAAGGAGGAAGGCTGAGAAGTTGTGAGAGGGGTTAAGAGGGACCGAAGAAGGAAGGGAGGGGATGATAGAGGGAGAGAGAGAAGAGGGATGTTGTGGAAGATGTGGGAGGAAGGCGAAGAATGTTGATGGGGAGGAGATGAGAGGGGGGGATAGGGGAAAAGTGGGAGGGAAAGAGGAGAGGGGGAGGGGGAACGTAGCTGGGTCGGTCAATCTAGCCTATATCGATATATTATAGTCTGTCAGTCTGTATTCTCCTAGTTGTGCTTGCGGGGTTGAGCTCTGCTCTTTCGTCCCTCCTCTCAACTGTCAATCAATCAACTGACTGACTGTCTGTCTGTTAGTCTGTCTGTCTAGCTGACTGGCTGTCTGTCTGTCTTTCTGTCTGTCTGGCTGACTGACTGACTCTGTCTGTCTGTCTCTGTTCAAGGTTTGAGGCCAGAGGCTTGGGGCTAGCCTCACTCAACATTTGCACGTTTATTGTGGTTGACTATGTACATAACTGGGGCGTGGATCACCTACTTCCTCCGTGCTTGAGTGACAGCCCAGGGGAGGCTTAAAGTTACAGTTGGACAGCAGTTAATTGCTTATGGAATCCTTCCTTATTCCGGCTGTTCATAGCGTGATTGATAGAGTTACTGTCTTCCGCTTTGGGGGGTCGGAGGTTCGAGGCTGCTAGGACCAAGGTTATATATATATATATATATATATATATATATATATATATATATATATATGCGAAGGCCTACCATAGGCATACGTATGATACCCCCACATGTCAACTTGGAAAGTTGTGGGGGGGGCGGGAGTTTTTCCACGCGTCTGGGCCTCCTACATCGTATAGACAAACATTCACTACACAGAAATATATATTTTTTTATTGTGTGTGCGTGTGTATTTATTTTGTATTTTTATTTGCTATTTGCGAGTGCAGGATCGAGCAGTAAGTTCTAGAGCCCCGCCTATTTATCTGACGGTTGTCTGATGTACTGACTACCAATCTATTTTCCTCTATCATATATGTTATATATATTTTTCTCATACACATACACACATGCCCAAGATGTATGCCGTAGCAGGTGTGTAACTCCCAGGTACTTTACAGGGGCATCAGGTGGAGGAAACTTTTCAGTTGTTTCTTCCTCGACTGGGAATAGAAACTGGGCCTTTAGGACTAAGAACCCCGAGCTCTTTGTGTATTAGTTCTTCCATTGTTTCTCTGAGTCTATCAGAGAATATTTGACACATTTTGTAATGAAGTCTTATGGACAAAATATGTACGTGATATTATATTGATCATTTTATGCTTTATAATGGCAAGTAATTTTGACAGCTGCCAAAGTTTGACAGACAGGAGTCCCATATAGGTGGCTCACTCTTGGCACCTCCAATCATTTATATCTGGTTCTAGTGTTCTAGTTTAATTCCTCATTATTAGTTTTCATTGCTGCGTGTGTTTCAGTCGGGCCAGAGATGCGTGGTGGTGCGGGCGTGGTGTGGGCGGAGGCCCTGGACCGGTCCGCCCTCGTGTGTCGCTACAGAGCCTGGCCAACACCCACTGTCACCTGGACCAAAGACGGGGCGCTCATTGGTCAGTGGATTATATTGATTCTAATAGGTTGATGTTCACTATCTTCTCTCTCAATGGTTTAAATATTATGCTGTTTATTATTTGTCACTATCACGTACCAGATGCTGCCATCAATGTAGAGTTCATAGAGTTCTAGAGGTTTAGGAATATATAACGATACTTGCATTAAACATTATTGGTATATGGACACAAAATAATTCTTATTACGAAATGCAACGAATAAAATAGCCCTAATTATTTTTTAACACTAAATTCGCCCTCCAGATGAAATATTTCTTCAGTCTAACTTAATAACTGACTTTCCCACTATTCTAACTGGCTCATCTTCCTCTTATTCTGAATCAATCGTTGATATGGAGCATCTTCCTTAAATTTTAGTCAAAATATAATCATATTACTCTTCATTAGGAAGAGTAATGCCTCGCCATTCTGGCTACATCAGCCAGCCCTCCTGGCTACTCCAGCTGGACCACTTGGATAGTCCATCTACCCTTCCAGACTATATTTATCTTACGCTCTTGGCTACTGCAACATCACCCTGCAGTCTACTACATCCTGTCTTCCATTGCTAACATCTCAACATTAACAATCAGCCTGTTTATGTTCTCAAGTTTTACCGTTTTGACTTTTTGTCATATATATATTATTTTTTTCATTTCGATTTTTATATATTTCCCTCGCAACCAGTCTTCTTGTATTAAGATTTCGTATTATTCATATATATATATCTTCCTTCACTGTAAACTCCTCCCTTTACACTGACCCACTCCCGTCTCGTTAACCCCACTACTGCACTAGAAACCTTTTCCGTCGTTATAAACCTTTTCCCTCGCGGTAAACCTCCTCATCTTACACTGTAAACCTCTTTCCTAACTTTAAAGTTCTTTCTTAACTTTAAAGCTCTTCCGTAACTTTAGAGCTCTTCCTTCACTGTAAATTCCTCTTTCAATTCAAATTAATCTTTGTGTCCTCATGTGAGTCTTTCGCTATTTACTCTCCCAGTCCTCAAGGAACGTCTTAATTTTTTACTGCAGTCTCTAAGACCTCCTCTGACTTTTTATTTTTTTTATTAAATGCCCTTTCGCTGCTTACTCTTTTTTTGCCTACACAGTTCCTTTTAACTCTTTGTTTACGCACCTCGAAGCCTCACGAAATGGTCTTTTTACGCCGTGCACTCTTTTTCTGGCAGGCCCTTGCTCCCTTAACGAACCATTTTAACCACTCAATCTCTCCTATATCCAGAAAACTGTCCTTTCATACAATACTCTTTCCTCTCGTTCCCCCTATAGTTATTATCTGTTTTATTTATTCATTTAAGCGTTCTTTTTATCCGCCAGCGTACTTTCTTTTCCTACTTTCTACTAATACGGTTTCTCATTTATCCCGAATTGATATTTTCGCTGCTCTTCTGAGAGCTTTCTCTCAGTTTTTCACTCCTTACTTTCTCTCTTAGATTTCGTTTTTTTGCCACAGGCCCTTGATAAGAGGTAACAGGTGCTTCTCGCCCTTCTGCACGGCAGATGTCTCATAAAACCTCCTCCTCTCTTAGCGCTCCTCTCTCGTCTTAATTCTAATCTGCTAGACACATCTGAGCACATACTCTCTCACCTCTCCTTCAAACTAAAATTTCTTAACAACCCTCTACACATCCTCTTTAGCCTCGCATCTAACCTTTCGCTGCCTAACACACTCGTGTACACGTCTAAATATGTTCCACAGTTTATAATACTCTCATCATCATATATTTTAAAAGATAATTATTTTGTCATATAAATATTATTTTTCTCTTAAATACACTTGACTTATAAACACTTTCCAACCAAGTCTTGATAGTTTAATATTTACTTAAAACAAACATCAATTTTAACACATTTCGACAGCTTAATCTCAATTTAAACATCCTTTGTTAATTCATCTTAGAACATATCTTTTGTAGTCAAGACTTTCTAACAAAAAATCTTACCAACTCGAAAGCCTTGTAAGGCCTCACGCAGATCCCCTACAAGCCACTGGAACACTGCCCTTCGCTGTCTTCACCCATCCTGGCCTGCTAAAAGGAAACATTACAAACGACACCTCCTCCACTCTGCATATTCTAATGTCTCCAGCGGAACCTAACGTCATTATATCTGTTTTGTGACCGGCACCAGAGGGCTCGCTGGAGACGTGGGAGCCATGGGGCACCGGTACCTCCACTCTGGTGATTCCTTCAGTCGGTCCTGAGAACTTCGGTCACTACCGCTGCACCGTCGCCAACTCCCTGGGTTCCAACTCTTCTATGCTGGCTCTAGTCGGTGAGTGTTTGGGCACAAGTGCTGGCATGTTAACATTTCTGTGGATGTTTGTATTCATTGACGTATGAGTCCTTGATCGTAAAATTGTCCTTTTGTTTTTTCTTTTAGTATAAACCACAGGACAATACCCAACCACCATCAGCTTGACATATTGTGATGCTGGAACATTTGTGCACCCAGTTGAAACCTTATTTGTACCATACTGTTCGTAGTCGTTTAATGAAGAAAAAATTGTGTCTACACAAATCATACATGGAAGATAAACAAGCATGGATACTGAACAAATACACACACGCACATATAAGTGAAGAGTTCAGATTTCTTAAAAAATAATAAGGTTTAGATTATTAGAATATCTTGACAGTATTAGGCTTATAAAACTAACTAACACGGCTTGGAGGAACTAACAACGTGCTAACAAACTTCCAGATTTTTTACATTTCAATTTGCACGTGTGCCGAATAGACAGGCAAGAGAGTTTCAATAAGGTGGCGAGTGGCATGTTAGTGCTGAGAAGCTGAATACTTCACATGGTAATCCTAGGATCTATATTATCAATCAAACGATGCCAATACCCTAACAAAGGGGGATAGAGGTCAGCATATACTAGTTTTGAAGGTTGAGGATGATGCAGATGAAGATTGTACAATGGTTAAAGAAAACTTAGCACTGCTGCAAAGTTGAGTCGATAATATCTAATGGAATTCAATAATAATAAAAATTGCAAAATTATGAAAATGAAAATGAAAAACCGAAGGACAGCATGAAGAAAACCACTTGCCAGAAACCTCTAAATAAATATTAATATGAGCAGACCTAACATAAAAATCTTATCAGAGAATCACAAAATAAGTGAACTGCAGCATACTCTAAACTAGCGACCATCAGAACAGCCTTCGGGAATCTCAACAAAGAGGCATTCAGAGCAATATACATCACGAACGTAAGCATACTCCAAGAATATACGGAATAATACACCATAAAACATAAGCATACAGAATAATACGGAATATTACATCATAACACATAAACACACAAAAATCAGATAAACGTGATATATATCAATGTAAAAATCCACTAGAACTATAGGTGGACTCGAACCTGCGACCCCGGCTTTGTCAGTCCCAGTGGAGTTTCTTATTATAACACATCTTATAATTACATGGATTCGGGTACGAAAATTTTTTGAAACAGCAAGATCTGTTTGCGTTAGAAGAGCGGAGAAATGCAAGAGACCAAAAAATATTATATATACATGGTAGGATTAGCAAAATGTTCACACTGAGTACCAATAGAACAAAGGGACATGGGTGAAGGCTGAAAAAAAATCAGTTTAACAGCAGATATAATACACAAATTTTTGTAACGTTAAAGTAGTAGAATATTTAAAGGAGGCAAACAAACAGATGGTGCAAATCAGGCAATAAGTCCCAATAACGGGGCGGAAAATTCGACGCCCAACCCACACATCTGAAAATAAAGGAAGTGATGACGTTCCGGTCCGTCCTGGACCATTATAAAGTCGGGTGAAAAAAAAAAAGAGTATTAGTGCCATTCAGTATATAAGGTAAAAACTGGGAAGTGCCACTTAAGAAGTAAACCATAGCAGTTAATAGCAATAAAGAAAACTGGAGAAGGCCTAATTACGAAGAGAAAGAGGAGAAAACAGAAAAAATTGTTTGTAACAGCAGATTAAGAAAAGTAACAGAGGCTAAGGTAAGAAAGGGTAAAGCTTAGTCAGATCCTGTTTGTTAAGCAGATTATAGCATTTATGTATGTACTGAGAAGACAAGAGTCAATAGCAGTAAAACCAGAACTAAGGTTCATGTTGGACACATATGCGAGCCGATTCAACAAGACGCTTCAGTGAAGGGTAGAGGCAGGAAAGATTATTTTAGAAGACCAATCTATAGGTTGATTAGAATCCCTAACATGGCAGAACAGAGCCTTGTTTATGTCTCCAGACTTAGCACTTCTTTTGTATTCTTTTATCATGCCATCAAGAGCACCGCCAGTTTCACCAAAGTATTGGAGAGGAAAAAGGGAACAGGAAATATTATAAACACCAGCAGCCTTTGAAAAAAGAGTAACAGTAAGAACCAGATTACTACAAAGTGTGTTAGTTCGTCGAAATGCGAGTCTTATATCAAGAGGACTAATGGTATTAGTAACATTTTGACTTCAGGTATGATGGGTAGGATCTACTCAATGTGTCTAGTGTTGGGTGTACGTTTAGGATCAGAGAAAGTTCTTTTGCCTTAAAAGTGAGCACAATTGATAAAGTTTAAGGATAACAAAGGCGAGAGAAAGACTTTTAAAGAAGAGAAGTTTCAGAATCATGAAACTAAAGGTCACTAATGCGCTGGGCATTAGTGACCAGTGACTGGGCAATTGGAAGAGAGAAACGAGGACACTTCTAAACAGAAGGAAGATGGTAGGAAAGGAAATAAATGTACAAATCTGAGCTAACTTCATTCCTAATTTCAAAATTTAATGGGGGTTATCAAAATTTAGGTCATGAGTCATCAGACCAGACAAAATACTCCTGGAAAGGCGGGTTCAATGAGCTAAAGCCCGCTCCAGAAAAGAACAAATACACGAGTGTAAATAAATATACAA